CTTCTCCCGAAGCTGCAGGTTCAGTGCCATCGTTTGAAATAAATTCTTCCACGGGGGGAGTGAGTTTTTAAATTTTAAGAACTCTTTAAGTACTTATCCTATTTGAGACAAGTATATTTTTGTTATTCTCTTTGAATTTTCTTTATGGCCTTTGTTAACTTTTTGTGAAATTTTAAATCTAAACAAAAGCAGAGAGTAGCATAAAGACGCTTTATGCACCAATACCCAATTTCAACAAAAAAGTCCTCTTTCATCTCATCTCCATTTGTATCTTTACCCCACATTGTTGTACGGTCAATCTCAGACAAATAGTATTTTAGTAAATCTCAGACAAACTGCTTCATATGAAAAGTACTTTAGTACATATTGCTAAAAGATGAAACTCTTTGCTAACATAATCAGAATACTAAAATCACATCTAAAGTTAATTTCTTTAATAGGATCAAACATCTAGTCATGTCTGACTCTTCATGGCCGTCTCAATTTTTTTAAACAACTGGTTTGGAAATTAATGTCTCCACCAGGTTTGAGCTAGTACTTACATTTAGTCAAACAGCCCCTTAAGTATTTTGCTCTGTAGATTCTATGTCCCTTTTTTCTCTTGCCACTTCTCTTTGAACAGGTTCAGAATAAGATGTATTGTCCTATAAAATGCTAGGGAATTTCAGAATGCAGTTGCATGCCTGTGATGCCTTGTAATGTCTCCTTTACTCCCCATATTTGTTGTGGACTGGCAACTTCTTCTAGCGCATCACTGCCCTGTGGAGTTTCCGTATTGAGGAACACGTCCTGTATCTGCTCCACAGCATAGCAGTTGCTCGTCCCAGGTGGCTATTGACCACTGACTTTCTATTTTTGAAAATTGTAATTAGAAAAAGGTTATAAAACTAATATGTTTAAATAGCAGCATGTTGCTGCCTTTTTTAAAAAAAAATTATTTTATTGGGGGCTCTTAGACCTCTTATCACAATCCATACATACATCCGTTTTGTCAAACACTTTTTTACATAGGTTGTCATCGTTTTTATCAAAACACTTTCTTTCTACTTGAGCCCCTGGCATCAGCTCCTTGTTTTTCTGCCTCCCTCCCCTGCC